ACCCTGTCCCTCAATGACTTACTTGGGCATATAGTCTATTTTATTAAATCCATCCATGGCAAAGTATATTATCAATATTTAACATTGGCGAGTTCATACCCGAAAACATTCATGGTAAAATATCACATTTTTCATGATCAATGCATTTTAATTTCATACTTTGACATATCAATGTCAATTTATAAAAATGATATAAAATCATGCCGATATAAACAAGGTCGACTTATCGCAAGTCTTCCTGATTATGTATAAAACATCCATGTATAACTTCATGCATGTATTGCACTCACCTTGACACTTTATGTCTTTCAAAATATATAAGCCTCACTATTGTCCACCATAAGCCCTTTTATATTTGATTTTCTTCGATTACAAATCAATCACAATCTGTATAAATCATCAATTCATAACGATGCATATGTTAGTATTGTACTAACATAAACATATCCCATAATAACTCCATAATATATTTGAAACTCATTATCTATCAAAATATTTATCTCTTAATAATTCCTTTAACATTGGAATCAATTTTTCCAATTTACACAAAATGGTCATTCACCATTTTATCACTTAGATTCTTAATATCAAAAATTCCAGCATTGAAATTACTATCATTCAAATGCTTTACAAAGGCATAATTATCTTTAAGTACCCCAACTCTACAAATGTTGTAAATAAACCACAAATCTTTTCAAACTTCCAAAACAGTCATATATCACATATAACTCTCATTTTAATTCCAAAACAACATTTTCCAGCATAGTATATCAATTATACAACACTTATACAACAACCCATCAATTTTCCATATTCAGACAATTCGTAATACCTTCAAAGAATCAATACTCTGTATTGATATGCACACTTGAATTGAATTCGGTTTCTTCCATTGAAAAATAGACTCGAATACGAATCTATCCATATAAATATCTCCTTCTAATTCATTCTGTACAATTTATGGTGAATTTTCAAAGTTGACCAACAGAATCTATTTTGCAGAATCTGCTGTCCGATTTGTCTGACCTTTCCTTGGTTAAAAATTCATATCTTTTTGTATACAACTTGAAATTGATCCCCGTTTGTTTTAAACAAAACTAGATTGATATATTAACATAATATATAAAAATAATCTCCATATTATTTTTATATAATTTCTGGTGAATTTTCGAACCTACTGCCAGATTCAAAATCCAAACTGTTTTCTTTATCTTCATTCTTAGGTTCTTCATCAATTCTTACAACCAATTCTTTAAAATCACTTAACTCATCAAAACCCATAAAACAAAAGAATCAAAATCCCCTTCATCAACTCAAGATGAACTTGAACATGAACCCTAGTAATATTCATGTCAAAATGTAGAGAATTGAACGTAGAATATTTTTCCTAACCACACCGACTCAAATTCTCAAGAAATTGCTTCAAAATTCAAACTAAAAATGCTTACCTTTCTTGCTTGAAAGTGTCGGCCCTTGGAGTAAGAAGAAGCTGAAATGTTCCCCCAATATTGTTATTCTAATATTAATTATATCTATCACATGCAAATATAATATCCTAATGGAATTTTTTATTCCATTCCACAAGAATTTCCTTTTTTGCCCTTAATGAATCTCCATAATCACCATAAAACCAAGCCATCTGATCATTATCATATTACAAAGTCAAACATGAATTATTTTGACTTTTATTTCCGAAATTCACCTTGAATTTTCAAAATTTGCGTTTTAGTCACTAAATTCCACTATTTCGATTAAATCTGAAAAATTGCATATTTCTAAACCAAATTTATCTGATTCAAAATATTAAAATAATATTTCCAACCATATTATAACATCCTTCAAATTTTCGTAAAATTGCAACTCGATCTGAAATACCGATTTTCTTAACGGCTTTGACCCTTTTAATTTTTCTTAACCAAAATTCCAAATCCAAAAATATGATTTCTATAAAAAAAATCCATTATCAAGAGTAAACCATCTATTTATGGAATAAAATTATTTTTAGGAAATTATCACTTAATTCCCTAAACTTTTTCCAAATTTTCTACTTTGACCATCAAACTTTCCAAATTTTCATTTTGGTCATTGTCTAAATTTTTGGGGTATTACAATATTATCATAATTTAACAATGGGGAAGTTCATACCCAAAATAAGATTCAGGATAAAATATCACATTTTCCATAATCAATGCATTATAATTTCATACTGTGACATATCAATGTCATGTCAATTTATAAAAATATGACATAATATCATGCTAATATAAACAAGGTCGACTTATCGCAAGTCTTCCTGATGATGTATAAAACATCCATGTATAATGTCATGCATGTATTGCACTCACCATGACACTTTATATCTTTCAAAATATGTGTCTCACTATTGTCCACAACAAACCCTTTTTATACTTGACTTGCTTTAATCGCAAATCAATCATGATCTGTATAAATCACAAATTCATAATGATACATATGTTAGTATTGTACTAACATAAACATATCCTAAAATAACTCCATAACATATTTGAAACTCATTATCTATCAAAATACTCTACTTAAAAATTCCTTTTTAACATTGGAACCAACTTTTCCAATTTATATAAAATGGTCCTTCACCATTTTACCACTTAGATTCTTAATACCAATAATTCCAGCATTGAAATTATTTCCATTCAAATGCTTTTACAAAAGCATAATTACATTTAAGTACCCCAACTATTCAATGTTGTACTTAAATCACAAATCTTTTCAAACTTCCAATAATAGTCATATTTCACATCTAACACTCATTTCAATTCCAAAACAGCATTTTCCAGCACAGTACATCAATTATATAACACTTACACAACAACCCATCAATTTTCCAAAATTTACGAATTGATCCCCAACTTTTCAAAAATTACAAAATGGTCTCCAATTTTTTCTAAGGCTTGTAGAATACTTCTTTCATTATTTCCAACCCTTATATAATTTTTCCCTAATTTTTCTCACTCAAACAATCCATGGCTGAAACTTAAAGAACAAGTTCTAGAAAGATTAAACATGTTCTAATCATCATAGATGCTTGAATATGAATCTACTACCTCACAAACATCAATATTCATCATCAATTTCATGATCCCTTATGTGAACACAAACTATAGAATTTGGGATCTTTGAACACCAACAAGATTATCATGCAATATTGGTACCAAATGATAGCGTTTTTCGCATATAGAAATTTATATTTTACGGAATACTCAAAACCCAAATGAATTTGCTTAAAACTTGAATTGAAGCTTTCTCTCACCTTTGGAGAAAACCTACGTAGCTTGGAGAAGAAGATGAGCAATTTGGATAAAATGTTGGGTGCATTTAATATTAGTTTACATTTAATTCCACTATAAATGAATAAAATATTCATTTAATTGAGATAAGACCAAATCACCCTTAATGAATCTTCTTATTCACCATAAAACCACGAAAACTCATCCTTATCATCTTTCAAAGTCAAAGATGAATTAATTTGACTTTGACTTACGAAAATGACCATGAAATTTTCAAAACTTGAGTTTTAGTCACTAAATTCCACTGTTTCGGTTAAATATGAAACATTGCACATTTCCAAACCTAATTTCTCTGATCTAAAATATTAAAATAATATTTCCAACCATTTTATAACATCCTTCAAATTCGATATGAATTTTTGATTCCTTACCGGCTTTAACCCTTTCTAATTTTTCTTTACTAAAATTCCAAATCCAAAAATATGATTTCTATAAAACCCCACTCTCAAGAGTAAACTATCCATTTATAGAATGAAATTCTTTTTATGAAATTTATCACTTAATTCCCTAAACTTTTTCCCAATTTTCTACTTTAACCATCAAACTTTCAAAATTTTCATTTTGGTCATTATCTAAATTTTTAGGGTATTACAATTTAGTCCTATAATAACTTGTTGTGTGAGGATTCTAAATTAATTTTATTCAAATCCAATGTTTACATTTCGTTTTTCCTTTACATTTTCAATTGATTTTACTACACTCAATTTATTTTTGCCAAGATATTTTCATCCATTTTTCCTCGACATCCATATTTGCTTCCATATCACACCATCATTCCATTCCCACCAACATCCTTTTCATTTTGCCACAACATTCTAATTAGTACATACCATCACTTACTATACTTAGGTAAAGTAATCATTTGCTTTGATTGAACTTATAAATTTCCTACAATCCCTGTGGATGTGATACTCACTCATTATTGTATTACTCATTCGATTGTATATATTTGCACATATTTCGCGACCATATTTAGTATTCACAAATCACAGACAAGTTTTTGGCGTCGTTGCTGGGGATTGGCAACTGGAAGTTAATTAGTTTTGTCATAGCATTTTTATTTTACTTCTTCATTTTTATATAGTTTTACTTGTTTTTCCTTGTCTTTTTCAGGTTTTTCTTGGTGTATGACCAAAAGACACTCTGACGAGCCATTAGAACCAATTTAACCTGAGATTGAGACGCTTTTTAGGCAAATAAGATGTGCTCAACGTGTTCAAAACATGTATCAAATTGGAAATCAAGGTATTGGTCAAGAGGAAGATCAGAATGTCGAGGTAATTTCAAATACTGGGAATGCAGCCAGGCCTCGTGCCATTTGAGATCACTTAAATCCTATCTTGGATGACTTAAATCCAGGAAATGTGGCACCCAAAATTCAGGCAACCCATTTTGAGCTCAAACCTGTCATATTCAATAGGCTAAATTCTTAGGGCAATTTGGGGCATCCTTAATGAATATGCCAATCAACATATTTGTAACTTCTTAGAGGTGTGTGATTCTTTTCGACAACAAGGAGTGCATGAAGATGTATTAAAGTTAAAGTTATTTCCATATTCTCTGTGTGACCGAGCAAGGGCTTGGTTGAGTGGTGTTCCAGCGGGTTCGATGGAGCTTTGGACTGATCTGTGCAAAAGTTTTTTGTTGCGGTATAATCCGCCAAACATGAACACCCAACTAAGGAATGCCATTGCTTCTTTTCGTCAACATGATGATGAATCAATGTATGAATGTTGGGATCGATATAAAGGATTGCTTCGTAAATGCTCAAATCATGGTTTTCAAGATTGGACTAAAGTGGTAATGTTCTATAATGGAGTAAATACACCCACGAGGATGATGCTAGATGCCTCAGTAAATGGGATATTGCACGATAAATCACCTGCAGAGGCATTCGACATTCTGGATAGGATTGCCAACAATGATTATCAATTCTCATCTACAAGGCTTGGAATTGGGCGAAAAGCACATGGACATTCGAGTTAGATATTAAGGATTTTGTGTCTGCCCAACTTGTTGTCATCACCAATATATTAAAGAATTTGTAACGACCAAGTGAGATGAAAGAAGTGAAGGCAGCCAATTCATCATTTTATCATGCCATGGCAATCAATATGAGTACGAGTGCACAACCAATTAGGAATCCATCAACTATGTAGGAAACTACAATCGAGGCAACAACAATAGCCTATTCTAACACCGATAATCTTGGATGGTGACAACATCTAAACTTCTCATAGGGAAATCAAGAAATCAGTAATACTAATCAACCCGTTGGGCCGCATAATTTCAATAACTCCTAAGGTTTTCAAACAAATATGCCATGACATAATTCTAATAAGGGAGTATCATCTTCATCCAACAAAAGTTCTTTGGAAGCCACAATCCAAGATTTTATAACAACCACGAAGACCATGCTGCAAGACCATGCTACCTCTATAAAAAATCAAGGAGCTTTACTTCAAAGCCAAACTCATCTCTAAGGGCGTTGAAGGGTTATTTTGGTCAAATTACCGTGACATTACAGGAACGTCAACCAGCTCGTCTGTTGAGTGATAGTGAAGTCACTAAACATCATGGAAAGGAGAAATATAGTGCACTCACTCTACAAAGTGCACCCAAATCAATGTACAAGATAAGTTTTGGGGAAAGAAGAATAATGATTTAACCACCGTAACTGTGCAAGTTGAGCGTAAAATTCCAGAAGAGACACAAGTTGAGGGGGATAAGGATGAGGGTTCATCTAGTGAAGTAATTAAGGGAGAAAACAAAAATGCCACGAAAAAAGTTGTTCCCATCCCTTCATTAGAGGAAGTCAAACCCCCACCACCTTTCCCACAGAGACTAAATAAGCATAATGATGACATTCAATTCAATAAGTTTGTCGACATTCTAGACCAACTCCACATCAATGCTCCTTTTCTTGAAGCTATAGAACAAATGCATATGATAAATTTCTAAAAGATATTGTTACCAAGAAAAGAAAAGCTGAGAAGTATGAGACCATTACCACGACAAAAGCATACTGCTCTACCTGAAGCAATAGCCACCAAAGCGACAAGATTTAGGCAGCTTCACAATTCCATGTTCGATAGTAGAAAATTATGTTGGGAGGCACTATGTGACCTTGGCTCAAGCGTGAACTTAATGCCTTTCGTGAAGCTTGGAATATGAAATACAAGACCCACCTCTATTATCTTGCAACTAGCCGACCGCTCCCATATTCGTCCTGAGGGGTGAGTTAAGAATGTAATTGTAAAGGTGGATAAATTTTTGTTTCCAATTGATTTTCTTATACTCGATTGTAAGGTTGATGCCACGACACCCATATTCTTGGAGAGACCCTTCCTAGCTACCGGGCGTATTCTTATCCATTGTGAGAAGGGTAAGCTCACTATAAGAGTGGTCGACCAATGTGTCAGTATTAATGTTTTTCGTACTCTAAAGTACATGGATGAGTCTGAAGAATGTCAGAGCATTTTTGAAGTGGATTCATTGATAGCAGGAGAAGCTGGTCAATTTTGCCTTGACAATTTCATTTAGCTAGAAAATTATGAGAGGCTCATTGAAGAAGAAAGTGTCAAGGAGCCCAATGACTTTTCTTTAGAGGTGAAGCATGCTAGCTTTCTCAAAGCTAGCCCAGGTACTCGCTTTGAGCCTCTTGATTTCGATGAGTTTGTTCCTCCTAAGCCCTCATTATAACATGCACCTACCCTAGAGTTAAAGAATTTGCCACATCATCTTAAATATGCTTACTTGGGTAGTAATGAAACTTTACTTGTTATTATTTCATATGCCCTTACTCCTAACCAAGAATGTAGTTTGTTAAGTGTTTTGTCACAGCACAAAAAGTTTTAGGATGGACAATGGCGGATCTAAAGGGAATAAGTCCCACTATTTGCATGCACAAGATCCTACTGGAAGAATGCCACGGAAAATCCATAAAGCCACAAAGAAGACTAAACTCAGTCATTAAGAAAGTTGTGATGAAATCCTCAAATGACTTGATGCTGGAGTGATTTACCCCATATCTAATAGTTCATGGGCGAGTTTTGTCTAATGTGTGCCAAAGAAGAGAGGCACGGCCGTAGTGACTAGCGAGGACAATGAGCTGTTGCCAACACACATTGTCACCGAATGACATATATGCATGGGCAATCGCAAACTAAACAACATCACCAAAAATGACCACTTCCCTTTTCCCTTCATCGATCAAATGTTGGATCGATTGGTAGGCAAGGCATTTTACTACTTCTTAGACGTATATTTAGGGTACAATCAAATTAACATCGCACCAAAGGATCAGGAGAAGACTACGTTCACGTGTCCCTATGACACTTATGCTTTCCGAAGGAAGCCTTTTAGACTCTGTAATGCCTCGACAACTTTTCAACGTTGCATGCAAGCTATCTTTTCTGAAATTGTTGAGGACTTCCTAGAAATATTTATGGATGACTTCTCCTTTTCTAGAGATGACTTTGAGAAATGCCTCGGCAATTTGGCAAAGGTACTCAAGCGATGTGAGGAGGCTGACCTCGTGATTAATTAGGAAAAGTGTTACTTCATGGTGACCGAAGGCATCGTGATAGGCCATAAGATCTCTTATAAGGGCATTGAAGTGGACAAAGCCAAAATCGAGGTGATCTAGAAACTACCCCCACCAATATCTGTCAAGGGAATTAGGAGTTTCCTTGGCATGTTGGGTTCTATAGAAGATTCATCAAGGAATTCTCCATGATATACAAGCCCTTATGCACCATGCTTCAACAAAATCAACCCTTCAAGTTCGATAAAAATTGCCATGGCACATTCACCGAGTTGAAACAAAGACTTATCTTCGCACCATCATGGTCCCCCCGATTAGACGTTACCATTAGAGCTAATGTGTGTTGTGATTGATTTTATTGTGGGAGCTGTGTATGGGCAATGCAGAGGTAAAATTTTCTATGTTATATATTATGTTATTCATACCTTGAATGAAGCACAAATGAATTACACAACCACTAAGAATGAATTACTTGTTGTGGTATTTGCATTTAACAAATTTAGGTTATACATAATAGGAACCAAAGTTATTGTTCACACTGATCACTCAGTTATTAAATACTTAGTGAACAAGAAAGATGTCAAGCCTAGACTCATTAAGTGGATATTACTACTGCAAGAATTTGACTTGGAGGTGATAGATAGAAAAGGTACTGAGAACCAGGTTACAGATCATTTATCTAGGCTAGAGAGTAATTCTGAATGCCATGACATTTTAGATACTCAAGAAGAATTATCAGATGAGAAAATTTTATATGCCACGACAATTCTGTGGTACGCTGACATAGTTAATTTTCTTGTCAGTGTTATTTTGCCATATGAATTGAACATTCAGGGAAGGATGAAGTTCAAGCATAATGAAAATTTCTACATTTTGGAAGAGTTGTATTTATTCAAAAATTACGCCAATCAAATAATTCAATATTGTGTCCCTAAGGAAGAGCAAAGAGATATTCTATACCATTACCACACAACTCCCTGTTGAGGCCATTTCAGAGGTGAAAGGATTGTTACTAAGGTCCTCCAATTAGGCTTTTATTGGCCTTCACTATTCAAAGATGCCCATGAGTTTTACAAAGCATGTGATAGATACTAGCGCACTGGGAATATTTCCAGGCGATATGAAATGCCATTGGAAAATATTATGGAGATTGAGCTCTTTAACGTGTGGGGAATTGACTTCATGTGACCGTTACCATATTCGTTTGGTTACTTGTACATCTTGCTTGCTGTAGACTATGTATCTAAGTGGGTTGAAGCAATTACAACACCAAAGAATGAATCTAAAATTGTGCTCAAGTTCCTTCACAAGAACATCTTCACCTAATTTGGAGCGCCGAGGGCCATCATCATTGACGAAGGAACTCATTTTGATAACAAGCTAATTGCCAAGTCATTGCAAAGATATGGAGTACGACACAAAATTACCATGGCATAGCATCCACAAACCAATGGGCAAGCTGAAGTGTTCAACCGTAAGATTAAGCAAATCCTAGAGAAGGTGGTGAATCCTATAAGGAAGGTATGGTCCCCAAAGCTTAATGAAGCACTTAGGGCTTATAGAATGCCATTCAAAACATATTTGGGAATGTCATCTTTCAAGATGGTATATGGGAAAGCATGGCACTTACCTATGGAGTTAGAACATAAGGCATATTAGGCTATTAAAAAGCTTAACTTTAACGTGCAACTAGCTGAAGAGCAACGATTACTTGATCTAAATGAAATAGAAGAATTTAGAGCACAAGCATATGGAAATAAAAAAGTTTAAAAGGAAAAAAAATAAGTGGCATGATTAAATGCTTTTGCCAAAGCATTTTCATATTGGCCAACAGGTACTCCTCTTCAACTTGAGACTGAAGCTCTTTCCCGGCAAACTAAAGTCACGATGGTGAAGTACATCATTTCTACCCTCATGGTGCTGTTGATATCAATAATATTGATGATGGGACCATTTTCAAAATTAACATTCAGTGTCTGCAAGCTTATCAAGGAGATCCACCCTTGCATGAAAAATCAACACTTTTCTTGTAAGATGTCGGAATCTGCAGAACATTTTCAAGATGCCATCACATTTCGGATTTAATCCTGTGCATAAATAAATTTTTATTTTATGTTATTTTACTTTATATTTAGTTGTTTTCTGATAATCAAGTTATTTTAAAGTTTTAGGGACCCACACAGAAGGCATGAGAAAATCGTACGATTAAGGACATAGGAGTGTGCTGCACCAAGACAAATAAAGGAGGGAAAATATTCACTTTTGGCTTTTTATTTTTTTGGGTTTACTAACCCACACCTCATCCAGCTGTTAAATAACCCCCTTTTCCCTTTTTATTTTATTTTTATTTTTTTACTCTCTCACTTCAACTTCATCTCTTATTCTTCTTCCCTCTTTCAAACCGCACACCATAGCCGAAAAATTTCAAGCTTTTTCATCTTTTCCTTCTTTCTTAACCAAAAAATGGTGCGCTCACATCCTCCAAGCATGGCTTCATCATCTCCATTGTGTTTCATCGATGAAGCGGCGCAAGAACAGTTTCAAGGGCTAAATATCTGTCGGGTTTTCTTTGAGTTAGGCTTCATCTTCTTCGACGCTGAAGATGCCGACCTTGGAGGTCATGTCATGGACATTGTTCACCAACACAAGTGACAAAAATTTTCTAGGCAATTAGAGAACATAAATGCCTCTCTTGTGAAGAAGTTTTATGCCAACTTAACCGACCCAAATCAACATGCTATGGTGGTTCATGGTATTTCTATTCGCTTTACCTCTTCAACTATTAATTGGTACTTTAATTTGCATTATATTATTGATAGCCACACCATATTCACGAAGGAGGTTGATAATGAGACTTACCATGGCATATTGGAGGACCTCTGTTTTTCAAACACAAAGTGGAATGGGCAACAAGCCAGCCGACGATCAGTAGATCGCAAGAGTCTACAACCAAGGGCTAGGTTGTGGAATCATTTTATGAAGCATAAGCTTCTCCCCACTGCCTACAACACCACAGTCTCTGTAACACCTTTAGACCGATGATGGTGACCCGATCTGATTCGAGGTGTCACATTAGGGCCATCAGAGCGACCCACCGTAAAATTCCTGAAATAATTAAAATTTTGTTAAAGCGAGTAAAATTGTAAAACAAATTATATATTAAATTTAGAATTTAACAATAACTAGAAATAAAATAGGTTTCAGACTCATATAAAAATAGAATACAACCTATATGCCCCCTAATCACATGCACCGTACTCCACAAGCAATGTCGGTGGAACTCCTATACTGATGTCGATAGTTGCACTGGTTTGATTCTTTTAACCTAAAATGGTGAGTAAATGAGTGAGCTTTAGGAAGCTCAATAATACAAAACTACCAAGTGATGCTGAAGGACATGCAAATAATAAGCAAGCATAAAGATTTCCTTATCGATTTAGACATCTACATGTTTTCGAGATGAGTTGTGGTTCCATTGATATTTCTTCAAGTAAAAGACATGATGATTTCAGTTCAGAGGAAACATTTAGATGACCAAGTTCAGGAGATCGGAATAGGATGTCTAATGTGTTCCAACAAAACAGAGTAATGTATATAGATCCTTTAAAAATGTTAGTAGTTTAAAACATATTTTAAAACCATAGTAATTCCCTTCAACCGAACACCTTTATGTTGTTTCCCCAAAACTTCATCTATAAGGACTTACCCTAAGTACACAACAAAGGAGCCACCCTAAGGGAATACTCTTGGGCCTATAGGCCTACCCAAAGGGTCTCCTTAGGTCCATAAGGAATTACCAACTCGATTAGTCTGAACTTATATAAGGAATTACCAGTTTGACCGAGCTGAACCTCTATACTTCTGTCTACCCATACAGTACCCTGTAGAAATCAAATTGAGCAGTAACTTTAATATCAAAATCATGATCCAGTAGTATATTATAAAAATGATCATGTAGTTATTTAAATCACATAAATTCCCTCCACCCAAACACATATGCAGTCTCATAATTTACCTAAGGGAGTGCCTTGGGGCCTGAGAGCCTACCCAAGAATCATTCTTGGGGCATTGGAGCTTACCCAAGGGTCACCTTAGGTCCATAAGGAATTATCATCTCTATCAGTCTGAACCTATATAAGGAATTCCAGTTTGACCGAGCTGAACCTCCATACTCCAGCCTACCTATATAATGTCCCGATAAAACTGTTCAAGTAGTAAGTAGTAGATCCCATGATCCATAATTCAGGAACATTTATATTTTCCAGTGAAAACAAAAAATTAGATAACACATATCATTAAACCATAATTCATTTAACATTGAATCAAAATATTATTAAATCTATAACTTTGAAAAACCACGTTTTAAAATAGGTAAAACATTTACATGTCACATAAGGAACACACTAGAGGATCCATATATTCTTTGGAGGTACTTGATATTTGTCAGGTAGGGGGACCATGAAATTTTGTAATTTAATAGGATTTCAGGATCAATATCCCTATAAAAAGTTGGTTTGATAGCTAACGGAATCATCATTCATTCATGAAGTGATTTATCAAGATCATATAGTATTCAAATATTTTCGGAGGCAGTTGAATAACCAGGAAGGCTTTTAGAATCTTTTACATCAAACTTATTGAAGATCTAGATATAACATGAGTGTTCTCATTATTCAGGTAAATAGGAGTATTCTGGACATTTTAATTTCTGATAGATTCTTAGTAACTTAATCTAATAAGAGTAAAATGGTAGTTTTTATTATTCTGAATTTATACCAAATTATCATGATTTTGAGTCAAATCGAACTACATATCCCAACATTACGATACTTGTCAATCATTCAAACCATGATACTTCTCTATTATTCACTTTTTAACACTGACTGCACTAGCTGAAATGATCAATATCAAGATCATCGCTGAACGGATCTTAGGGAGACGAACAAGTATTACAATGGTATTTATTTCATTTCTATATTGCAACGGTATCAAGAAATGTCAACGTGCTAGATTCATGGTTCAAAACCCTTATGAACGGTACAACATATAAGCACATCAGCGTTTCCATACTTATCCAAGTCATTCTCTTAATTTCAAGTCATTGAGGGTACTTGTAATACCCCCAAACATTGGGTCAGTGACCATAGTGAAAGGATTTAAAAAATTTGTGGGTTAATTTGAATAAATTGAAAAGTACAAGGATTTAATTTATAGATTTTGTTTAAGACTTATTAGTAAGAATGGAAGAATGAAGGGGCATTATGGTCTTTTAGAAAGAAATGATTTTAATATTCATTTTATTTGAGATATTTATTAAGGGTTAAATAGTAGAAAAAGGGAAAGAAAGCTGAAAATAACTTGGTTCTCTTTTTCTTCACATCGTCCTGGTGCCCTCTATAGCCAAAGGTAAGATTCCTTCAAGTTGGTTTTTCCTTTCATTTATGGGTTGGTTTTGAAGCCTTAAGTGATATAGAAGCTTAAGGAAAGCTTTAGTGTGAATAAAACTAAGAGATTAGTGATTTATTAGAGATTTAATAAAATGGGGTTTTTTAAGTGATTTGATGAAATAGAGTCAGTGATTGGAGTTTAAAGGTATATTTGACTTATCAAAGAAGTAAATAAGAGATTGGGAGCCTTAGAAGTGATTAAAACATGTTTGGAATTTGGGTGTTATTCTTAGTTTTAAGTGTTATTTGGAGATTTTGAATATTAAAAAGAGATTTATGGATGTAAGTTAGTTTGGATCGGAAACATTCTGAGTTACTTGTGAAGTCTCAGAATCAAAAACATTTTCAGTGTTGTTTGTCATGATAGAAAGACAAGACACGAGAGAAAACTAAAGAAGTGGAATGGATCGGAAATATCCCTAAAGCCTGATACCATGAACAGATTTGAGAAGAAATAAAAAAATTCTATTTTTCTCTAACATCATATTACAACTTAAAGGAAGAATCACTACAAAAAAAAGGAAAATATCCCTAAAAATTAGGAACTACAATTAGATACATATTTACACTATGTTAACTCCTAAAAATAAGGAAGAAGATTCAGTTCCTTAATTCTCAGATTTCCAACAATATTAATGTTAGGTTAATGATTGAAAGAATATAATTCTTCATACATTTCATCACCAGGTTAGGCAGCAAGAAAGTATGGTGCATCATCCTTCACAGATATATAAAGGATCATTTCGATCGGTAGCATTTGGCAGATCATTTCCTAGGAATTACATAAATGGAAAACGAGGGATAAATTGATTCGGAAAGATTAATGCATGCACCTGCAAGCCATTCCAAAGGCTTTGGGACCAACGAGTTGTATGTCCTGCCAGCATTACCCTTTGGCAATTTTATAGTTGTATCACCATATAAAAAAATGCATTTCTCCAAAATTTTCAAAGGGGAATATTGATGAGTCTTTCAAGTCTCATATGACTTGGTCTTTCTGTTTCACTTCACTATTCTTAATGATAACCTGACAATTAGCATGCAACTGCAACCCACGTTCTACTTTAGGGGAACAAATGCCAAGTTGACTTTATCTGGCACAACCTTAAACATATAATCATAACCATATATATACCACAACGTTAAGTTAAAGAAATGCAATAATAGTTGTCCATCTTCAGGGTAAGAAATGGCAAGTCAATTTCATCTAGCACACCCTTAATCATATATATTTACCACAAAGTTATGTTAAAAAAGAAATTCACACTAGTAGAAAAAACCCCTTTAATATCGCGCATTGCGCGTCATTTATGGGTGCGGATGACACACATTTGCCTGTCGTTGAAGCCACCGACATGAATTTAAGATGACGTGCAACTGTGCGTCATAAATTTATAACGCTCATTGTGCGTCATTAAAGCCCCCGTCATAAATGAAGACGACACACATTTGTGTCATAAATTTATGACACGCATTTATGACTTCGTTACGTGTCATTGAAGCACACGTCATTAGAAAAGATGACACATATTCGTGTGTCATGATTGTATGTCGTAAATATATATATATATATATATATATATATATATATATATATATATATATATATATATATATATATTGTAGATTGACAAATAATCAAATTAAATCACATTTAATGCCTCATAATACAAAATATATATATCATATTATATATAAGCAATCTATTTGCATACAATATATTAACATTAAGTTATCAAAAATATTATAATCATATGTCGATACAAAATATCACGACATAATAAAGTTTTCCACATAAGATACCCATTCTTTGCGAATATCAAACATGTCGACGTTGCGGGAGATGCAACTCCTCTAGCTTCTTCTGCAATTTTGAAGTTGCTTCTTCAGAATCGAGAACTCTTGAAACAGGCTGTGAATGAGCATTGGCTTCAACTAAACTAGTAGGAACATCAGATGCACCAGCTGTTCCCGAACCCTTCCCAAAATTAGAACTGATCACCTTTGGTTTCCACTCCTTATTTGAACCAATTGCTGATGACATATAGGAATTAATACTTTGCATATATTAATCAAGCATCAACTATCTTCAGGTGAGAACATAAAGTAGTCCAAACATTTGTAAAGAGCAAACATTTTCATTTATGGTTATCAAGTCATCACTCATCACTAAGTAATATGAAAAGAACGAAAAATCAAGTAAATTTGTGGTAAAGGTATCTTAAGCTTTAAAAGCTTTACTTTTCATTTCTCACAGTTACACTATTATTTAAGAGGATACTTCTATTTACATATGGGTAATTCACCCATCCTTCTCGGTTATAATGATGATTTTCATTCAAACTTGCAAAAAACGTGCTACTGAATTCTATTTCGCTCAGAGGAAAAGGTGATTGATATCCATTTACCAAAATTAGTTATAGATTCCAATGATCATAATGAGTAACATAGTGGGTCTGAACTCTGAACATCCTTAATCAATCAAACAAAGGAGGGCATTCAACTAAACTTTCCTGGTCTAAGTGAATTTAGATAAATCCCATCTCTAACAAATAACGCACATATCTTGATAACTTAAGCATCCATGTACAGTCCAGCAAAAAGCCAAAAATCAACTTTTTTTAAATATCAACATTCACATAGATTGCAATAACTTTCATTATATCAGTATGGGATGGGAGATTGTCGAGTGCAAGCTAGACATGCATCATAAATCTTCACTGGAAAGTTAAAGATTCTGGAACCAATTAACTATTTTTTAAAATTGATATCCACTTCATTGATGAGGCCAAGTTGGACTATGTAGCTCTAAACTATCAATCTCAACCCCAATATAAGTCACAAAGAGAAAACATTGATTTAAAAATATATATGTTCCAATAAAGAAACAAAAGCAATAGATGCATGCTTTCAGAGAAGTAACACAGCTAAGGAAAAGGAAGAAACTTAAAGGGAGATTAACATATACCTTTGGATGGCTCTGGTCTGTATCTAGTTGTTCTGTATTTCTGCAGTGAAGAGATCGGTTAAAAGGTAATCAAATCCAAGCCTTTGTACACACATTTAATATATATATATAAATTAATAACTAATAGAAAAGTCTATGCACCTGCAAATGACTTTTAACATGATAAATTGTCAAGCCTTCAACTTTCATAAGCTTCAACACGCCCTTTAGAGTAGCTCATGCAAGTTGAAAATACCAAACAAATTAAAACATAACATATTTTGGAAAAAGTTTCATGAGAAATGAAAGTAACGCACTTTCACTGTCTCCCAATTGGTTGACAGCTTCAACAAAGGCTTCATGAAGTTCTGGTGTCCACCGCATTCGTTATTTTGCTGGGGCGTCCACTAACGCTGTAACTAATATTAAGGCTCATCATAACAGTTGCACTTGCAGCAGCAGAGACAATACAAAGACAAGACAATAGGAAACCTTATTATCATCACAGTACACATAATATCCATTTGCATTCTCTTTATCCCAAGCCAGCCAAGTCTCACATTAAGCTAAAATCTAAGTGATTTAAAACCAAACAATACGAGAAATGATATATGGACCACCAAATGGGTGCATTGAGGATGTAAACTAGTACTGTATTGACCACCTAATCTCTCCGTTGCCTCCACGACTTGTCTCCTTGCTTCTGCAAGCAAAAGAGAAACATTGACATGTAATGACAAAATATGATGAGTTCAATCAAAATTCAAAGTACCCAGACTCGAAATCATACGAGTTTTTATCAAACTCAGACAGCAGTACACTGTAAGAAGTACCCCAAAACAATAAAACCAGAAATAACCAACCTTTAGATAAGCCAGTGACGCAAATAACCAGACCAGAAAATGGACCGGGGGATCGAACCGTTAAAGGTTCAAAACAAATAGAGGTAGGGGCAGGGGACATTGGTTCAAGGAAACATTCAAACAGATCAAATTTTTAAGGAAACAAACATAAGTTCAAAAACGAACAAAAAAACAATCCATATATAAATAACCTACGGCACAAAGCTTTTTAGTTAGCTTAACGGCGGCCTTTAAATTTTCTAAAGTTTCCTGATGACACTTAGTATCATGCCACGAGAAATCGAACCTAGTCACTGAAGAAAAACAAAAACAAACGAATAAATAAATATTGCTTCCAATAACACAGTAGTAACTAAAAAGCAGTGAGTCCGAAAATACAGTACCAAACATTCCAGCTTTAAGACAACCAGAAATAACATCAACAGATCGAGACCTTGGACCTAAAGTTCCCACTATCTTGGTCATTGTCGGGAAAAAACTCTGTAAAGAATATGAACGAATCAGTTTCCAAATCTACCAGGATCCGATCAGATTCCCTGAAAAACCGAAAACCCTAAACAGATTGACTTGAAAAACAAAAGGGAAACTTACAGCCTTAGATGGCTCCAGGATTGAAACATCCTGATTGGCTAGTCTAAAACGTAATTTCCTTCAAATCTAACATAAACCCAGAAGAATTTATTCAAATCCAAGAAATCCCACAAGTTCCCAGTTCAGAAACATTAGAAAGTAGCAAATCAAAGTTCAACCACCAAGCGTAAAAAATATGCGTACGAGAGGGGGAATATGGGTGTTATAGATGCATAGATGGAGTGAGCTTACGGTGCAAAGTGGATGGAGAAGAGGAAGTAACGGAATTGGAAGGAGCTGGTTGTTCTTTCATCTCCACATCTTGAGTCATTTTTAAGAACCTGACACAATTTCAAGGTTCAAACTGATTATCGAGGGGGGAAGAAGCGGGAAGGATGAAAATAATGGGGGGGGGGGGAATTAAAATACGACTCCTAAAGATGACACACAATTAAAACTATACTCCGTGTTTTTGTAAATTTTTTAGATTATGACTATTAAATATGACACATTATTGTAAGTCATAAATCGTTTAGATTTTAAAAAACATGACATTTTTTAATGACACACATATTTTGCAAGTCATAAATTAGCGTGTGTCATTGTTCGTGTGTCATTAAAGATATATTTTCTTGTAGTGTCAATAATAGGTGTCCCTCTTATACCTATGAATCTCCTTGAGCCACTTGTTTATACAAGTTCTGTGGAATTCGTGATTACAAGGCAATACCCGCATGCTATCCGCCTCCTCATACTCCACAAGGCATATGTAACATCTGTGAATTGAATATAAAAGACAAAAAATTAAGACGTAAAATATGCCTGATTGTAGACTAATGCCATATGAAGTTACTGAAAAAGAAAGCATACTGAAGGTTAGGGCCCTCAGAAATTGCACATCCCACCATTTTATATGTCCATGCAGGTAGACAATACCTAAGTCGGTCTAAATTTCCATCTCTAGCTCCCCCAATTTCCTCTATTCGTATTGGATTCAAGACCAATGAAATCATTATTCTCTAGCTAGATCACCTGGACTAAAAAATCTAAAACTTGTGGCTTTGATGCTTAAGGATGGAGAAGTTTGCACATGTATCATGTCAATATTAGAGGTGACAATGGTTATATTTGGTTTTGGGGAAAAAATGAAATTAATAGGCTATATTCTGTTTGTTTTTTCAAACCGAACCAAATTCCATCCTTCCAGAACAGTTCAGTTCACTGGTCTTCCATTTTTTTTTTTGGCTATCGATATTTCATTTATATATATATATATGCTTTATTTTTCACTAATTTAGACAAAATATTTATTTTTATATTATCAAAAAATAAGAACTAATTATAAATTAAAGAAAAAAATAGAATTCGATTTGGTTTGGTTTGAACTTTGAATAATTGCAGTTTTTCAACTTCTGAACCAAAAAAACCAAATTTATATAACTATTACCCGAATTGTATTAATGGGTTTGAGTAGTTTTCAGTTTTCTTGGAAATTTTCACTCGGCCCTAGAGAATATTAATGCTTTTATTTTTGGTACATTAAGTAATAATATTACATCACAGGTTTACATCCATTATATCTATGCATATTACACAAGGTTATCATGTCTATATTTCAAATTTACATGTTACACATAGCTGCTAAACCGTAACAGATTAAAGCCAAATGGAGTCCTCTAGACAAGAAAATTGCATATGGAACTCGTCTGAACCAATATTGTGGGTCGATGGCAGGATAATTAAATTACTTATTACTTCTCTCATAAGTCATTAAGAAATCATGCCATTGAACTTCAATTTCATACTTTACATAGAATTAGGCATGTGTGGATAGATTACCAACAGATCAGCCAATGATAGGCCTACTTGAGTGCTAGACACCAAATCTTTTGAGCCTACCAGTGACTATAACTTGGCAGCAGGCTTTAAAACTTAGCGTCCCAAAAGAGCTAAGATTCCATTTCTTCCGTGACAAAGAACTAGCAATCATTCTTCTTTCAGGGTTCATTAGTGTACTAAATTAGCTGATTGAATACTAATTTTAAAGCCCTTCAGCTTCAAATTATCCCAAACAAGAAAAACTTCAGTTAACTAATTATTTTACTCTCATATTGTCATTAGCTTAATTATTGTTAAGATATAGGTCAAGCTGCCTCATTATCAATTTCCAAACATATTGTAGTTCAGAAAACTCTTTCTACAACTGATCATGTTTCATCTGAGTTCTTGCACAAATTTATAACTTACTCTGAGCTAAAATGCCAACCACATATTCTTTCATTGCTGATCCATTTAAAGTGAATGCATATGCAGTTAAATCTCATCTTCAACCATCTCTAGGGGAAACAAAAATTTTCAAGTGTGCTTCACATTTTTCAAATGGAAGAGGAAAATAAATACTTACTGTGCAGCCTCTTCATTGTAAGTTTGTGTGACATGTTGTATGCTTTGACAGGAAGCGATTCCACAACTTCATTAGGTGCAGGAACAGATCCAATTGAAGATAGAGAAGCTCGAGAAGATAAAACCACGGACTGCTGGTGAATTTCATCCAGAACCTAATTAAAATGCATAGAAATTTAACTCCAGGTGATAGGTGCTTGAGAAATAAGGAAGATCAATGAAGAGAAGACAATAATAACATTAAAAACTAGAATTACCTCAATAAAGCTTCAGCTAACATAACGATTCTGGATATACTAGCCCTAACACTTGTCTGATCATTTGAATTGGAATCTCGATTATTTATACGACAAGTGCATCGACCAGTTCTATGTTGACCAGATAATATACAAAACCTTTCATGTCCAGAAAAGTTTTCAAAACGGCTTCCTAGCCGTTGAAGAGCTCGAACCTAAAGCAGTCTCATAGGTTAGTAACTAAAAAAACAGATAGAAAAATAAGCATCATCTTGCATCGAAATGGACAATAACCAATTAACTTATGGCAGAATGAATGCAGGCATAAGCAACGAGATATAAATAAAGCACTAGGAAAAATTGTTAGCCATAACAATTGTTGTATTCAAGATGTTAATGAATAATGTACAGTTCAACAGATGATGATGAGATGTTATTTTCTTAATTCAGTAACCAGAAGATATTGAATTGGAAGATTACAAACCTGAGATCGTATTCTTCTCCTTCTTTCAAGGAAATTGGATCTGTGCTCGAGTAGATCATGATATCTGGCTTCTCTAGACCGGAAGGTTTCAACTTCATGATCCTGAATGTTAAAAACGGGACGGTTTGGAATGACGGGGGCAGTGGATGTGGATGTGGAACTGGAAGGAGAGGTAGCTGATTGTCACGACTCTCCGTCTGCTGCAAATGCGTGAGTCTGGTTGCTGTTTTGCTGTAAAGGGCATAACGTGAAATCAGATATAGAAGCTCTACGAAGAACACGGTCACGAAGCCTTCCAACACTCAAAGTTCTGCTAAAATGCACATTCCTTTCAACAGGTTCTCGACTTCCAACTCCAACACGTCTATCCCTATCCCTATCCCTATCCCTATCCCTATCCCTATCTGACCTATCTGTGCCCCCATCATTGAAGATTACGGAAGAATATAAGTTTATAGAAGAAGAAGAAGAAGAATTTTGGGGAAGATGTGTGGATGTTCTTCAAATGTATCGGAGTTGTCATCGCGGTTCAATATCGCAAGGCTCGTAGAATATGCCCTAGACGACCCCAAACTATTGGCTCTGCTTAATCTAAAACTAACGTTACCCGGAAGGAAGCTAAAGCCAGAGAGGCAACGAGAAGGAGAGTGATGCGCTGCTGCGGCAGCCGCCGCGGCGTCGGTATCAATTTTGGAACTGCTACCGGTACCGGAAGACATGCATGGCAGTGACATTCCGTAATGAGGTGCCACTTCACCTTTAACCTTCCGTGAAGGTTTCTTTTTCACCAGATCCGGCTCAGGTTCCGGTTCTATACTGTTCCGATTTTTATAACGCGGTTCAGCAAGTCCAGAAGGAGATCCAAGGCAAGAGGATAGGAAAATAGATCTTCTGGAGAAGAACCCTTGCTCCCACCGGATCCCATCTTCAACCTAAATAAATAAAGAGTAAAGTACATTAATGGTCACTGAATTTTTTTAAAACTTTCATTTAGATCTCTCAACTTTTAAAATTGGCAATCCAGTCCCCTAATATTTAGTCTGTTTGCAAAATGGTCCCTTAACATTTAGTCTATTTGCAAAATGGTCCCCTAACATTTAGTCTGTTTGCAATATGGTCCCCGACCGTTTGACGCCGTTACACTTTCCATAGTACGTTTGCAATATGGTCACTGAACTTTTCAGGCGCTTGCATTTAGGTCCCCCAACTTTTAAAACTTGCAACACAATCCTAAATTTCATTCTAAACCTCAAATTCCTTTTAGATCTCAAATTTCCTTTTCCGCTTCTCTCTTCTCATTTCCAGCGTAACTTTCCAGTCGATGATGCATGGGAAATTCTAATCTAACTTTGAATTATGTGGAAATGTTGACTTGAATAAGGGTTCATTGAGAGAACTCGACCAAGGGACTATCGGAACCATCAACGATTCAAGGCGTAATGTTGGATACAAGTCATCTCAGGTGAAGCATAGATGTTCGATGAAATGCTTGTGAGAAAAATTGGGGATAGAAATGCAGAGTTGACAAATAGTACTAAGATGAAATAAGTATCATTGTTGAAAGTCACCAACAAAGCTGGAATTATTTTGTATAAATGACATATAATAATTTCTTGGTTTAATCCTTGTACTTAAAGATTTTCCAACAGATGATCAAATATAATGAAATCCCAAACAGCGCATTCACCTCTCGTTTGGTTTTTGTTCTTCAATTTTCCGCCATGTAAAATTGTAAACCCAAGCAGGTCTTTTAGCTTTTTATTTACAAAGAAAAAATGGAGGAAGAATTGCTTGAACGCACCACCGATTGCATTTATTTCTTAGTCTCTCCTCTCACTTGCAAGAAGGTATTTATTTTCTCTTTTGAGCTATCCGGAAGTAAGATTTTCCTCTTTCGCACTTTCCTATTTTCAGCTCGTATTGTGTGTTTTTTGTTGAAATTTTTATGTTTATGGAACTGCATGTCAATGATATGGATATTCAGTGTTAGTTTTGAACCAAAACCATCTAATTTTCTTTCTTTCTTCTTAATCAAAACTTTTAGTACTTCTTATGAAAGATATTCAGTCCATCAGAATAGAAGTGAAATAGGGTCCTATACTAAATTTTTTTGATCTTCTTGTTTGGTTTTTCTTTAAATCAGGGAATTGGTTATGAGTATCGATATAGTGAAATCGCCATGCTCAATCCGAGAGACTGCTGGTACTAGTTTACTGGGAATTGTATTGATCCAACCAATGGTTTTCGGCGTCCTGTGAGCTCATATTCTTTTTAATAAGTTCATGTTGATTATGGGACTGATATATTGTGAACGAATTAAATTTGTAGTTGAAGTTTGTAGATTTCGTGATAGGATCATGATGATTAAGGTTATTATAGAAGCAGAAGTGGTGAATGTCCTTTCAGTGTACGCCCCATACGTTGGCCTAGGGGAGGGGGAAAACGTTGCTTCTGGGATTCGTTAGGTGATGTACTTAGGAGCATTCCGGAGGACCAAAGAGTTTTCATTGGGGGAGACTTCAATGGCCATATAGGTAGTGAAATCGACGGGTATGACGGTGTTCATAGAGGTTTCGGTTTTGGTAGTAGGAACGAGGAGGGTCGTTCGTTGCTTGAATTTGCTACTGCACATGATATGGTAGTCACTAAATCATTCTTTAACAAGAGAGATGTGAACTTGATTACGTTCCATAGCAGGGGACATTGTACCCAAATCGACTACATCCTGGTTCAAAATCAGGATCGATGGGCTTGCATTGACTGTAAGGTGTTCCCAGAAGAGGCATGTGCATCACAACACAGATTGTTGGTTTTGGTGTTCCGCGTTCGCCACGGGCAGAGCACTCATAGGAGGGCTAAACTAGGTAATCTTAGGATCCTTTGGAAGAACTTACATAGAGCGACATCTAATGAATTTAGGAGTAAGGTTTTGTCTCATACAGGTTTTGGAACTACAAACTCAAATAATACAGATATGTTATGGAAAAATATGGCAAATTCCATCAGAGAGGTGGGCAAAAACACCCTTGGGTTATCGACAGGGAAGGTCAAGGAACATAAAGAATTGTGGTGGTGGAATGACGAAGTCCAAACTAAAGTGAAGACAAAGCAAACTTGCTTCAAGGAGTTTCTACAATGCAATGAAGACGAAAAAAGATCGATAGCTAAACAAAGATACAAGGAGGCAAAGCGGGAAGCCAAGAAAACAGTGGCTAAAGCAAAGGATAAGGCATACGAGGAAATGTACAAGAGATTAGACACAAAAGAAGGACAAAACGACATCTTCAGGCTTGCAAAATCCAGGGAGAATAGGAAAAAGGATCTAGGTAGCATTAGGTTTACAAAGGACAATAATGGTGTTCTTTTAGTGAACGATCATGATATTAAGAGGGTTTGGGGTAGTTATTTCTTTGGCTTATTTAATAACGGTGCCTCTCCCTGTAGAGATAGTATCGTTGATGGGTCAGCCGACCATCATACTACGGCCAATGATTGTCCTACAAGTAGGATTGGGATTGAGGAAGTCAAAATGGCTCTTAGAAAGATTGGGAGAGACAAAGCTGTCAGTCGAGATCAAATTCCTATCACTGTGTGGTTGACCCTAGGAGAAGAGGGAGTTAAGCAGTTGACCAACATCTTTAATATTATTTTAGAGACCGCCAAGATGCCAGAGGAGTGGAGAGAGTCTACGGTGATACCAATCTATAAGAACAAAGGAGATCCCCAACGTTGTGGTAACTACAAATGTATTAAACTACTCAGTCATACAGATGTATTAAACTACTCAGTCATACCATAAAGCTATGGGAAAGGGTGATAGAGGCTAGGTTGAGACAGGTTACTAGGGTTTCAGAAAACCAATTTGGCTTTATGACAGGTAGGTCTACCACGGAGGAGATTCATCTACTTCGATGGCTTATGGAAAAATATAGGGAAAAAATAGAGATCTTCACATTGCGTTCATTGACCTTGAGAAGGCGTATGATAGTGTACCTTGCGATACGATCTGGAAGACTTTAAAAACGAGACAGTTCCCAACTGCTTATATACGGGCAATTCGTGATATGTACTGTATATCTACTACTTACGTCAGGACTACAGTTGGCGACATCGAGGCATTCCCGGTGGAAATCAGACTCCACCAGGGGTCGGCTCTTAGCCCTTACATCTTTGCCTTGATTATGGACGACATCTATTGTGTGACACCAGACGGTATTCCATGGTGTATGCGTTTTGCTGACGACATTGTCCTAATTAGTGAAACAAAAAATGAGCTGAATAGTATACTGGCTACCTGGAAGACTGCTTTGGAAGAAAAAGGTCTAAGGATCAATATTGAAAAGACAGAGTATTTATGTTCAAACTTTAGTGGGAATCAAAACAATGAAGATGTAGAAGTATGCATCGAAGGATACGTTCTCCCCTCAAAGGATTGTTTCAAGTACCTAGGGTCTAGGATACATAAAGATGGGGGTGTACATGATGACGTTACACACCGTATAAAGGCGGGATGGCTAAAGTGGAGGGCTGCTACTGAAGTTTTGTGTGACAAGAAGGTGCCTCTAAAACTAAAGGGAAAATTTTATAGAATGACAATTAGACCAGCACTACTGTATGGATCAGAAAGTTGGGCAATCAAGAAAAATCACGTAAGGAGGATGGAGGTCACATAAATGAGAATGCTTCGATGGACATGTGGTATGAATCTGTGGGACATGACACCAAACTCTGTAATTAGGATGTCCTTGGGGGGTGCATGTATCCGAAAAGTTGAGGGAAGGAAGACTACGGTGGTTTGGGCATGTTTTTAGGCGACAACCGTCGGATGCGATCAAGAGGGTAGAGTCGATTACAGTCGACGGTGCCAAAAGGAGAGGTCGACCAAGGAGGAAGTGGGTAGACTGCTTGAGATCTGATTTGAAGGGTTTAGCCCTTACCAAGGACATGACCTCTAACAGGAAAGTATGGAGACTTAAGACCCTGGTAGCCAAGTAGTGTGGGTCACAGAAATAGGGTGTAGCATCTCTGTCTTCTTTTTAATGTCTTCGTAGTAATTTACATGACTTCTACTTTTTATACGTTTCTGTCATTGGAATTTATGAAGGCTTAGAACTAGGGTAGCGGAGTAGTGTAACCTTAGTTTAGGTTTTAACCCATTTGACTTTATTCCTTCTTGTAACTTGCTATCGTTGACTACTGTGTATCATTCTCTTCATGTTTCCTCTTTTTAAATTTAGCCTGGACTTACGTTTCTGTCTATATGCAGAGATTTTTACGTAGGGTTTTATTTGCAGGGATTACTTCCCATTATAGACTCGCATATGTAGACTGCATGTGAAGACTGTTCAACTATGTATTTATTTATTTATTTATACATGCATTTTTTTCTGACTGCCGGAGGTCTTCCACGGAAGCTGCTCTCAACCTGGCGTTGGGGGCAGCCTACTACCCTACCTCCCCCTTACCCCATTGCATATGGGAATAGGGTTTTGTTGTTGTTGTTGAATTAAATTTGTTTACATGTTTTAGAAATTTTACAGTTGAATTGTATTGAATTATAGCTTTAGAATACAATTCTACATGCACGCAACTCGAAATGCATCATGACAGCGTAGTATATTTGGAGCAGCTACATGAACCTGTAATGATGCCTTTCAAGTTACGAAAGAGACTGAGAGGTGAATGCGCTGTTTGGGATTTCATTATATTTGATCATCTGTTGGAAAATCTATAAGCACAAGCATTAAAATAGAAATTATTATATGCCATTTATACAAAATAATTTCAGCTTTGTTGGTGACTTTCAACAATGATACTTACTTCATCTTAGTATTATTTGTCAACTTTGCATTTCTAACCCTATTTTTTTCTCACAAGCATTTCATCGAACATCCATGCT